AGAGAGAGAGAGAGAGAGATGGGGAACCAGCGAAAATTGAGCAGCTGAAATTGGAAGAAATATTTTCTTAATTTTCTTCGTGCATGAACTTATTTGTTTTCCCTCTATTTATTACTTGGGGGCCCTTTAGAAATTTGTTCATTGTATAATGACCATCAACGTAAATTAACAAGAAAGGGGGAGGGGGGAACAGAGAAAAACAAGATTCCTTTTTGCCTACAAAGTAGGAATGTTTTTGAGCTAAGCGTGTGGAGGACTTCATTTCCTTAATGATCCTATTTTGTTTATGTATTTTACAAAAACGCCAGTAACGAAGTCAGAAATACAATTATACCAAAATGTTATCGCTCAGAATAAGCATCTCAGGTTGGAAGGGAAAAAAAAAGGAATTAATGAATAAAAGAATGAGCTCAATTTCATGCTTAATAGCAATAAAAAAATCATCCCAATCAAAATAATGATAATAATAATAAAATAATTGAGAGAGGAAAACGCGCACGTGTTTAAATATCCCTACCTAAAATTACAGACCTATACATCAAACCAAAAAAAAAATATTCAGTATATCAACTGATACAAAAAGACCATTTCGACTGATTTTCATTCTGCGACTTCTAGAAATATACTGACCTTAGAAATGCAGTTACACATTTATCATATAATATTGCCCATACTTATTTCAGTCTCATTCTGTTAGTCTATAGACTTTTTACATCCTCTATACGTTTCAACTATGCATTGTATTCTATTGTTGAGATATCTTAGACACGATAAGTTACAACTGTACATTGTTTTCAAAAGTTTGGGTAACATTACACTTCACACACCGTCAACTGTATATTGTATTCATATTCTGTATTTTTTTTTAAAAAATACAGTATACATTTAATAAAGTGGATTGTAACGGAATATTTAGACAACATATGTGTAATGCATTGACGATAATGTTGCCCGTATTAAGGTTCTTAGAGAAAGAAGTAGAGACTGTCTAGTTGTCCTTGTCATAATACACTGTCGCCTATCGTCAGCGTCAGTACGGGTGGGTAAACTTCCAAGTCCAACGCAGGGGATAAACACCTTATCAACTCCCTCCTATGGAGGTTGTAACTTTAACAGTTTCCTCAAATGAAACTGAGAGTTTTGTTTTCAAAAATGATTCAATATAACAAATTTGGTAGCTAGAGATAAAAAGATTAAAGTAAAAAATAAAAAGTTGTGTAAGTTCGTCATTAATATGTTTATTTTTCACATTATTACTTTGTGTCTTGTTCCTTCCTTCCATCATATTTTAGACTTCATTTTACTCATATAAACCCCAACTGTCACCCTTATTGTAAACACTTTCAAGTGCGCATGCCCCAGAACCACTTTTAGTTTCCGCTTCAGTGTATTCTGTTAGTAATACGTATCCTTCTGCCCTCCCCAGTGGCACAGCGGTATGTCTGCGGACTTACAACGCTAGAAACCGGGTTTCAATACTCGTGGTGGGCAGAGCACAGATAGCCCCTCGTGTAGCTTTGTGCATAATTACAAACAGACAGACAGGCGTATCATTCTTTTTAATCGTCGCTGTTAACTAAGATGTATTCTTCTGTATATTCTAAAGCTATCGTCAACTACATTTTGTTGACTGTTTCTTCGTTTCCAGCATTGATGCCCCCTAGTGGCACAGCGGTATTTCTGCAGACTTACAATGCTAGAATCCGGGTTTCGATACCCGTGGTTAGCAGAGCACTGATAGCCCATTGTGTAGCTTTGTGCTTAATTACAAACAAACAAACATTGATACTTGTTTAAAACAAAACAGAACCACTAAGTCCTTCTAACATTGTTACTTAAAAGAAAACAGAATCACTAAATCATTTCAGCATTGTTACTTAAAAGAAAACAGAATCACTAAGTCCTTCTGGGTTGTTTGGGATGGCTTTGAATTTCTTTTTATCGGAAAGGATGTCGTTCATTTTGTCGATGTATTCTGAATTGTTCATGATGACAGTGGTGTTGCCTTTATCAGCTTTTAGAATTTTAATGTTACTGTCCTTTTTATGATTATAAATGGATTTGATCTCGTTACTTGTGAGGTTACTTTTCAGTTTACGGGATTGGTTGACTATATTAATAGTCTTGTTTAAGAATTATTTAAAAAAGTTATTTGAAATACAGTTTTTGGGAACTTCGGGAAACCACATTTTGCACAATATTGTGTTGTCTAACACAATAACTGTGTGACGTGGATCAGTATAAACCTATGAATCGGAGAAAAACCATCCTTACGTTCCCACTTTATCCAAGGAAATGAGTACCCAGGAGTTTGGTGATGTACACAGTCACTATACAACCTTATCATGAATTGTTGCACACTGGTGCCATACCCGATCTCCAACGCCCAGGTGTGCACCAGATGTCACTTTTATGCTGTTAGTCCATTGTCCAGTCTAAGCATTGGTTTACTCAAATATTAGTTAGTGACTAAGATCAGTGACGCCATTTTAGCAAAACTTGAACACTAATTTCTACAAAATACACGAATTGTTCATGACGTAGCACATTTTGGAGTTCATACATCATATATAATAACTACGGAAGATTAATAGGGCGATGAGAAACACAAAAAAGCTGGAAATTTCGACTTTGTACTTTGTATATAACAATATTCGTAATTTTCCTTAAATATGGCCCATTAACCAGACGTTTTACATTTTTTAAAACATAAGTAAAACTTCCGTCATCCATCCCCCAACAGTAGTTGTCGCTACTAACTGAGTTTCTCAATTGCCCATCTTTAATCCAACCGTTCTTGAGGATGCGGGTCCTCCTCGTAATTCAACAACTATCGAACTAAAGGATGCCGTTGCGACAGGGATTTGATTTATTTCTAAGGAAATGTCATGCGTTGCAATGTCACTTATCGGGATGGACGTAATAATTGAATATAATTGTGGAAACATTGAACAGTTGCTATAGAGGCGCAGCCTAGTTTCATTTCACGAACAAAAGGTACAGTCACTTCAGCATTTATTTAAAATAACTTACACTCATGTCGCAGTTCACTCATAAA